AATATTTATGGGAGTATTTACGTTTGGAGTTCATTAGATGAAAGAGGCAAAAAGTGGCGGCCACTACTCCCGCCAATTTTGGTGGACGCTGGCTGGCTGTACGGCGTCGATGGAATCAGTGGACACTGTTGCTGCAGTTTGTGGCCGCACTGCCTTTCATTCATTTAGCAATTCTCACTGTGCTTCCTACCCACACAGCAATGCTGTACGACGACGCCACCGTTCACCGGGTTCTCCGTGCAGCTCACGAAGGCCAAGATTGGCGCGATGTCGCGCTCAAGAACGATGTCAAGCTTCGCACTGCTTACCGCTGGATCAATGCGGCCGAGGACAGCGGCAACTGGGAGGCTCTGCCTCGAAAGCCTCGTGGTGGTAAGCGCCACAGCAAGATTCAAGACGAGCACGTCGACTACCTAGTTGGTCTCATCGACGACAACTGTTACATCACGCTGGATGCGCGTGCGATCCAGATGAAAGATATGCCTGTAGGAGAATAAAGACAATATCAAGTTTGGCTTTGCTGGCTCCTATGTTCGATGTCATTTTGAACTTACGTTTTGTCACTTTGATTTTACCTGTCGCCATTTTGAAGTTGAAAAGGTGTATATCTATACCGGTATAGCGACTGAAGAGCTCAAATTGATAACTACTGAGGTTTCACCAGGCGTCTCTATCGCCAAATTTTTTTAGCTACCGGGGGGTTTCGGTCGCTATTCCGGACGCCATAGCGACTGAAATCTATAGGAGGTTGGATTACTTGCAAACGAACAATGCCTCGAGGAAAAGCTTGGTCGGACAAAGAAGATGCCGCCCTGTGCACGGCGTGGTGCGCTACGTCGCAGAACCCAATCGCAGGGGCCGATCAGAAGGCGGACAGCCTTTGGACGCTAATCTTGCAGTCATACCGTACGATAGTACCAGGAAACAAGCGCTCTCTCATCGCCTTGAAAAACCGATGGTCAGACATCAATCGAGATGTGAGCTGGCTTGTTGGTTGTTTGGTTGTTGTTGTTAGGCAAAACGAAAGTGGGAAAACAGAAAAAGACAGATTTGAAGACGCTCATAAGTTATACGAGGCTCTTCAAGGAGAGGAGTTTTCTTTTGCTGCTGCATACGAAGTACTTAAGAACAAACCGAAGAAAACGGCGAGTGTGAACAAGAAGCGACCTGCCGATGGAAATGCTGCTGAAACGAGGGATGCCAAGCGTCCCCAAGGTGCAAAAGCAGCGATCCAATCGCTGAAGGAGGGGGAACTTCTTGAGATGCAGTACGCTGCGTCTAGGTCGATCGCAAGATCAATGGAGCGCAAGAACGACATTTTGAGCGAGTGGGCAAGCATCCAACTCTTCAACATGCCCGATGCTGACCCTGATCAACGCGCTCAGTTTTTCAAAATTCTGCGTCAAAAGAAACTCTCCGAAATGATAAAAAAAGTTCGCGGAGTCGAAGCAGAGCGACGACGAGACGAGGGAAACCTACCAGGTTTCTGCTGCTGAAACTGAGATCCCTGTGGGGTTCTATCAGGAGTCAAGTGGCGTTGCGAGTGAATCCCAAGAAGAAAACATTGTTGAGATTGCAGATTTGTGACCAGAGTTTGATGAAGCCAGTGTACTTTTTATAATGCATTGCCTTTATTTTCCCAAGCATGTTCTACCAACTCTTTCTGAAGCTTGATGTGCTCGTATTCGCTGTCAATATTGCTAAATGCATCGATGACGTCTGTAATTGAGGTGATAGGACATCCAGATTGCGATACCGCTGGTTCAGGCGGATCTGAAAAGTACACGACATGAAGTAAATCGTGCCGCGACTCCACTATCATGTTATGCAAATTAATGCAGCAATGCATTACTTTTTCAAGCTTTTTAACAGTCCAGAACCGCGCAGGCAAAGCAAGTATCCTCCACTGTCGCTGAAGAACGCCGAATGCTCTTTCATCGTCTTTTCGTAGAGCTGAGTGAAGTTTCGTACGTTTTCTCTTTTGTGAGGTTGGCGTTGCTATACCTTTGGCAAATACCGACCAATTCGGGTAAATACTGTCGGCAAGCAAGAAAGGAAAATCGCGCTCTGTCTTGCCAAGTTTGGACGTAACGCGACGAATTTCACCATGAAGCAATCGTCGTAGAAATGACGATCTTTGAAGAACGTTGATGTCGCTGTTGGAACCTGCTGCTCCGAAATCAGCATGCCAAATCCACAGATCCCCTAATGCAATTGCTTCTAACACAACAGTAGGTTTCTTCTCGCGTCCTTTGTATTGACCAGCGTGTGCTCGAGGGCATAACGCCCACTCCCATTTCATGCAATCAATCGAACCTATCATTTCCGGGAAACCTCTCGCTTTATTCACGTCCAGCAAAGCTGAAATGTCGTGTTCTGTCGGTACTCGCAGGTACGTTGGTCCAAACTTTTCTACAACGGCAAAACAGAACTAATTTAATATCTCAAATACCGTAGATTCTCCGATAGAGCATACTTCATCCATCTCATCCCCTGCCTTCGCGTATGCCAACATCCGAAACGCTGAAGTAATTTTCAACAAGATACTAATTCCTGGCTTGTCAGTTGCATCAAAGCGCTGACGAAAATACGGATAATGCGAAATCAGCTCGTCGTGGACTCTCATGAATAATGGCTTGGCATGCGATACCGACGTGCAAATGTCCTGTCGTCGTGGAGTGGCGTTTCGGCGAAGTATCGCCGCACAAGCATCTCATTAACCGCAGTGAAGTCTCTGTCGACATTTGCAGCCTTGCCGGGCTGTGAACCGCCGTATTTTCTCTTTTTCGGTGCGCTAGGGGTCAAAAGTAGTGAGCAGACGTACGCCTCTTCCTCGTCGTCAAGAGCTTCTCGCAAAAGACGATTTCTTTACATAGCGACAGATTGGTGAGTGATGCCTCTCGGTGTCTATCGCTAAAATCATTCCGGCCAATCGGAAGACAGCGAGTTTATAGATATAGCGACACACCGGTGGAGATACTCTTAGGGGATGTTTCATGTCAACTGGGGCAACTCTCTCAGCCAATCAGAATCGCTTATTTCTGTCCCAGTTGCCCCGAGATTGGAGCTCGGAGCAACTGGGGTAAATTTATCTCTGTCAGATTCGATTAGAGCTGCTTTATCGTTTTTGCAGAATTCTAGCGCCCAGCACTACGAGTGATTTATTCGAGGATTTTCTCCGGGCATTCCCTCCGTCATGGAGGGAATGCCCGATGAGCTACGAGCTCTCCTAGGAGATACAGTCTTACTTTCGAATACAACAATCTCTACAGAGTCGCATGCTGCAATATCGGACGTGGAGTCCTATCTTAGCGTTAGTCCTACTCAAAATGAGGCGACGATGAAGGAGGTTGAAGCGCCCGTTGCTAAGAGAGGCTTAAAATGAGCTGCAGAGGAGGTACGGGTTCAATGCAGTAGCAGAAGTAGTAAAACGAACAAAATGGCGACGGTCGTCGTACTGCACTCGGCAAAAAGAGAAGTATGAACGCGAGGCTGTGGCGACACTCATTCCAAATTGCCCTGTCACATCAACGAGCGAGCCGCGGGAGCCGAGGTAGGGCAGAGTCAACTCCAACTTCATTTCAAAAGAGTAGCGAGTCACGTTACTCTCAGGTGCGTGGCTATAGTAATAAGTCCAACGCCGGCGAAGATACCCAGCTAAGCGCTTGATACACGAACGACGCATTCGAAATGCTCGTAAACAAGCTTCCTCAAATGCGCTGTAGTTCTCGTCAAAGTAGTTGTTCCCCACCGTTAAGTCCATTGAAATATTCGTCGCAAACTTCTACCATCAACCTCACCAATCGCAGCAACTACTAATGCTTGTATGCCTTCATTATTGATGCTAGGTTTGCCATATCAAGGTAGCGCTAGTCAAGGTTCTAAATAGTGATAGTAACACGATCAAGAGAACATTGATTTCTTCCAAACAATCTTCTGTCATTGCTGCTGTTTCTGTTGTCGCTAGCGGCTTCCTCCTGCTGTTGGTGTCATTGGCGACCTCTACCTCCTGCTGTCGGTGTCGGCGGCGACCTCTTTCGGTTGTCGAAGGTGGCGGCCTCTTCCTCCTGCTATCGGTGTCGGTGGCGGCCTCTCTATGCTGCTGTCGGTGTCGGCGGCGGCCTCTCTGTGCCGCTGTCGGTGTCGGTGGCGGCGGCCTCTTCCTCCTGTAGTTGGTGTCGGCGGCCTCTTTCTGCTGTCAGTGGCGGCGACTGACTCTTGGTGTTGATGTCGGCAGTGGATGAAAAGTCTCCAGAAAACGGTTATCCATTAAAATCGATGCAGTCGGCTGAATACTATATTTAGAAGAAAAGTTGCCCCAGTTGACCTGCCCCCGAATGAAACATCCCCTTAGAAGTTTCAAAAAGCTGGCGACCTGGCTATGCAGTAAGCAAGTGTTATTATTGGTCAATGGCATGTGGATTTCAGAAAAATAAGAGTAGAAGTAAAACTGATATGAAATAGCTAAATTTGATCTCATTTTCGGAATCAGAGGTCGTGATCCCTATATATCTAGCTACCGATATTTGTTTTCCCTGAATAAGACCCTTCTTTGGCGAGTCATGCTTTACTGCTCCTTGTGATCAGATCATCCGCACTGGGAAAATCTGGATTGGAGCGCCATTTGCAGCAGTGTCGACTACAACTCTGGTCTCTCGTGGGTTTCTAGTGATGATCTCGTGGTATGTGAACTCGTTTTGGACTTTGTACGAGTTTGCGCTGTCGAATGCTGCAAAGTTATCCGGGCACGAAATTGTCCACGTCCACAAAGAGCTCGTTCACGCTGACGTCCTCGTCGTTTATCTGGGTATTGTAGCGTTTCTAAGCTGGATTATTCGTGAACGGATTGACCCTGCTATTGCAATATTTCTGTTTGAAATCATACACAAGCACAGACTCAGCTTCATTAAGATATCGCCGCTATTCTAAACAAGATTATAACGTACTCGAACAGCGTCTTTCAGCTCGGTAAAGCTTAAGTGTCGTCGAGTGCTAACGACATGTCTCCGTTAGATTTCTGGTCCACGTTCCAGATTCCTAAAAAAGACGGTACTTTTCTGGCAGCGTCGTTTTTCCCGAAGATCAGCTTGTTAGGGCTCATCGTATGCTTCGCACTGTTACGCAAACTCTATCGACATTTCTATCCGGAACCCATTCATCAAAGCCTTTCGAGTCAAAGCAAGAACCAGTCGGCGAATGAGAAGACAGCGCTGACACTTAAAGGCACGCTAACCAACTTTGGGGTCTCGACTGGTGCTGAACTTCAGGCCCGCTTTGGGGTTATTTCTGACTATAAGAATTATGTCTATTTTAAAGGGATGAAGTTTGCGTCTGCAGATGGAGTGCACTGCTCCGGGTATGTTATTGTACATAGTAAATTTCTGGTAAAGTCGAAGGATCTTTTGGCCATTGCGATGATCAAACTCGCCCACGCTCGCTTCACGAATGTATACGTGTATGAGGTGGAAGGCAACACGGTCAAGGAGACAGCCAGACTTGTATACCCGGTAACTTTTGCATGGTCGGATTTGTGGCGACTCAATGTTACAGTGTTGTTGTAAATAAAGAAAAAAAAGTGTACAATGAGATGATATCGACCGATGTATTTGTTGCTTAGGATTAACATGTTCATAACCTTCGCGGGCCTAGATGATCGTTAGCTTGTGGCGCGACAAACTGCTTCGTCGGCGCTTCCTTCTTGGCAGTCGACACCAGGGGGTCCGAAAATGATATTGTTATTTATCGTAGTAGCATCTTCACGATAAATTATCGCGAAGCTAGCTTGTATGTTGGCAATACGTTATGATGCTTTAGCTAGAAGATCAATAAATAATTGAGTTACTGCTGCAATAATCAAGGTTTAATGAATCAATAACAGGTATCTACGCTCGATTTGCTGTGTCAAGTGTTTGTGCGTCCCAGTAACCAGCATTTTCGCGCAGGAAGAGAATCATTTCTAAAGTAATGGGCTGCAGTCTATGGCGTTCTTGGCCAAACGTGGTACGAGCAACGCTAAAAAAGCGCTCCACCACGTTGGACGTCGCAGGGATTGCATGCAAGAGCTTGTACTTGGTCTCCTTCGCGGCAAGTCGGCGTCTTTTTTAGAGCAGCTGGACCAACGAATTTTCGCCGTCGTCCTCGTCTTCACTCACTGCAGGAGGGCCTGTCGACTTGAACGGAGTCAACACTGTTTTTTCAGCTCGCGTGAGGCGGGCTGCATTGCCGCCTAAGACCCGTACACACCCTGACTCAAAGTCAGGGCTGTGAACAATTTCAGCGCGTGGGCCTAGTGTTCATAGTGAATACAAAACAAATTAGCAATGGATAGTAGAAAAGGAAAAAAATATGCTGCACGTACCAATGTACCGAGCGTAGTGTGGTTTGATGGAAATCAAGCCATCCAGCCACACTCGAGCATCAAGTAGTGATACTTCGTTTCCCTGCAAAGCCTTTGCAACGGACTCGACCTTCTTCAAGTCTGCTAGCAGAGCACGCAAACGGCGGTTGTACGAAGGGGACGGCAGCAAATCTGCGATGTCGTCGTCATTGCTGTCGATAAACTCCAGCAGTGTGAAGTACCGCATCACCATAGCGAAAGTGGAGCTCCATCGAGTATCTTGGCGGATAACTGGACGGAGCGGCGTTTTAGTTCTACATTCAAAATAGAAACCCAATTAGAAACGTTTCTAACTACATTATTATCAGTTCAAACTTACCTCAGCTTGGCACATTGCTTCAGGTTACGAAGCTTGATCATTAACTTCTGGACAGCATCCAGCTCGTCCTCATAGTCTTGCATGTCAGCTTGCACTGCTCGGTCAAGGCGGTGGCGGCACAGCCGATTAGCGGCACACCCATCAGCGTTGCGAGCCGCCGGTTAACCGAGCAGTTGTCTCCCACCAGGAAACAGCACTGGTCCAGCTGCTTGCCGTAGTCCCGAGGCAGCATAGTGGCAAGAAACGCCATGTGGCCGCGGGCGGAGAGGTCTTCCTCCTCCTCGTTGAGCAGTGGAGCCATACAAAGAAGAGGAGTCTTGACGACCCCGTCCACCTCGTAGCGAGCGTACACTGCAATGTAATGATCTGAAGCATGAGACCACCCATCAAAGATTAGCCCAAAAAGGTCAGGCATCTCTTCAGCGATGCCACGCTCCACGGCCCGCGTCACACTACTCATGCCAGAGACGAGCGTCTCGACACAAATTGAGTCAAGGTTAGAGTACCTATAGAAAGCAAATAGAAACAGAAGTTAGAAATTCATAGGCAACTTTAGAAATGCGTATGACTTACCTTTTGGCCGCCTCATTCTCACAGAATGATAGCGGAAGATTGCTCTTTAGGATCCACTCCATCCAGCTGAATAGATTGAGAGAGGAGCGCCGCACGTAGTTGAGGATAGACCCCGTCTCGGCCGAGCCGGCGGCGAGCATGAGGCTCTCATGGGTTGGGTTGCTCGCTTCGAACGTGCGATACCAGGTTGGAAAAAGTCATGCGGCTAGCCTGCTTTCGAACCGTGCCGCAACGACATCGGTAGTACTCGAGGATGACTTCATCAAGCTCGTCGCGGCACGGTTGAAAGAAACACCCAGCAGTTTGTGCTGGCGTGAACGTGGAGCGCACACTGCGTCGAGACGAGAAGACCATGGTAACGGGAGTGTCGGCGTGGGAAGTGAGAGAAAAGAAAATGAGTCTGCTGAGATCAGCCGATTCGGCAACAAAACGACTGGTTCGTGGCGATCGATTGACTGCTGCAGATAACTTCAGGAAACTGTACGCATAAATTACCGTATGTAATATGCAGCCACCATAAATTATGCACGAGCCTAGTTTAGGGTGACAACATAAATAATGTATGCTTATTTATTGAAATTACTGTGTCGTCAATTTTTTTTCGGGGGCCCTGGTCGACACTCGTCGGATTCATGGCTCAAAGGTGGGAGGCAGTGCTCACTTTCTGGTCGAACTTGGCGCTGTAGCTGGTTGTCGGCCGAGCGGCGAGTGTAGACTTGGCGGTGGGAGTGGCAGGTGGAATCTTGCTGGCGTCCATGATGAGGCTGGTCGAAGGAAATTTCAAAGTGAGAGTGAACACTCGAGGGCACGTGGGAGGCGAGCCGTCCATCGACCACTCGACGCGAACCAAAGTCGTTGAAAAGGATGGTTTCTTTTGCGATTGCGCTTTGCTGTACTTCGAACGAGGGATTATTATTTTGCCTAGAGTACTGATGCAAAAGCAATCCTTGCACCCGATTCCATGCTCTACAACGAAGTCTGCATTAGAATTTGATGAAGCTGTTTCTTGTAGAAAGGTCTGACGTTGCTGACGGGAATGTCGATGCAAAGAACTTCATTTCATTTTGTCGAATGTCACCAATGAAACTTTGCACTAGGAACCCCTACGTACATTCAATCCTATGGTATTCAAGTTTGGGAGAAAAATTAAACTTAAGTTTCTCCGTATCGCTACTCCCGTCAGCAACGTCAGACCTTCCCACAAGAAACAGCTTGTGACGCAGACTTCGTTGTCGAGCATGGAATCGAAGAGCAAGGATTATTTTGCATCAGCACTAGGCAAAATAATTCTCCCTCGTTCAAAGTACAGCAAAGCACAATCGCAAAAGAAACTATCATTTTCAGCGACTATGGATCTCGTCGGGTGGTCGATGGACGCTCCCACGTGCCCTCGAGTGTTCACTCTCACTTTGAAATTTCCTCCGACCAGCCTCAACATGGACGCCAGCAAGATTCCTCTCGTCTGGTATAAATAGTTTGACTTGTTTCTCTAAGCAGCAATAAGAATTTCGACATTTCTGGTTTTGAGATGCCCAATCCATGTACATCTTATTCCCTTGCTCGATTTTCTAATATGTTAGAAACGTACCCAAAGGCTTTTAATACCGGTACGCCTCGATATGCTACGGTGTAGCGTAAAATATCGGTATCACATACCGCCGTTCAAAGAAAGGCGCTAAAATCGATCTAGAGTGGTGGTCGAAATTAACAGGTCGATAGACCGAAATTAGCACCGCCACACAAGCATTTAAATTTGGTGCTGCAGGAAACTAAATTAGCGGCCAGACTCCACACCAAGATGCAGGCACAAACGCCGCCCACACGCCATAAAAGCGGTAAATCTGACTTCGCTACATTCGCAGCACCCCCCTCTTTGATCGGTGACACTCTAATACGTTTGTCTTCTCTTCAGGAAGCACGAGAGCGAGGCATCAACGCAACGCATAATGGCTCGAAAGCTTCACCAGTGTGCGGACGTACGCGACCCTTTCAGCTCACTTGAACGCTCTCTACAACTCCAATGGAAACGCTATAAGTCGCAAAAGTCTAAAGCCGACGAACTGAGTCGAATACACGTCGCAGTGGCGCAAATAACCCATTTCCAGACTCTTTTCGGCGCCGAAATGGACGGAGAAAACGTGGAGAAACCAAATATTACGAATCTAGGCAAACGCCATGGTGTCAGGACTTCTGAATAATACGATATAAGCTTTACCTCTGAAAAAGTAAGTAAACGTGTGTTTCAAAGTATGATCACAACAAATTCAAAAGAAACGTACAATAATACCTATCCAGTTCCCCCTTTTTTTAATCAATTTTATGAATCTATGTCCACCGAGTCTTGGGAGATTTGGCCAGCAGCGATTGCTCGTACGGCGATAGCGTTTCGTGCCTCCGTTCACTCTATTAAAAAAAACCAATTTCTCTACACTACATCACGTCCTGTTATCTCTACGCCCTCTCGAAAGGGCTTGCCGTCATCCTGGAATCAACTCTGCACGAGCTTGAACTAAGAAGATGCATCACAGCTTCTGCAAGACATGATAAGCCAACAGGAGCTATATCCCGTGTACCACTTTAGCGGCGCCGCTCTCCATTCGTAGTACAAGATCTGCGCTAAGCTTGCAAGCACTGCAAGCACTGCAAGGTCCCCAACATGACATGCCCTTGACGGATGAAGGATTTGCTCTGGAAGGCGACGGAAATCGTCGACATGAGCGGGCAAGCATGTCTCGAGCTCTTGGACGCCGTCGAAGCCGACCATTATCCCCTTGCCACCATGATTTATCAAGCCGCTCGCACACGAGAGCTTGATGCCTTTGCGCATCCGCCATACCGTTGGCCAAAAGTTTGACCTTGTCGTCTCAGCTGGTGCAGACTTTGAGCACCATTACTGACACTCCCTCTTTGGCAGCCGCAGAGACCGTACCTCTGCATTTCGCAGGTATGCAGGCGAGCACCGCGTCTTCACGCTCGCTAACGACTATGGCGAGTCAGATTTGACCGAGGTCGGGAGTGGGTCGAATGCCCCAGCCGTTTCTGGTAGGCGTGTCACGAAGGCATTCCAACGCTAAGCCGTGAGGAAATTAGATACCTTTGTTCTGAACTGACGAATCATTCAAGATGAAATTCAAATGTACCCGGAGCACGTTTGCAGGAATACGGATTTCTCTCGGACGTTTATCTATTTACCACATCACAGCTTTGAGGTGGTCACTACGGTGCCTCACTTCTTACGTTAAGACGCATGTATGCTCGCGTAAATGGAGCTG